CTAAACCCTAAACCAGATCCTCCTGTGCCAGATGACTTTTAAACACTTCCAGGAATGGTGACTCCACCACTTCTCTGGGCAATCTGTTCCAGTGCCTGAGCATGGATATTCCAAAAGGTAAAGAAATGTATATAAAAATCATAAGTCATTGATATGTCCTTGATATTTTGTTCTCAGTCTCAGAAAGCCAAGTGAGACTTTACTCACTTCAAACTCAGTATCTTCTAACCCTGAATGTCCTCTAGCTGTTCTTGAGTAGTATTAATGAGTAGCAATATCCCTGATATTGCCTGATCTTGCCAAAGGCTAATTCTGTCTGGTTATGCCTTAGGAATGTCACCAATTTTAGTATCCTTATTTCCTCTGATCCCCTAGAAAAAAATCTTTCAAGTCCAGTGTATTTATGGGCATATCTGAATCGGAAGGAAATTCCTGACACAGAAATGGATCAAACGAGGCCTTGTATATCAAACACAGCCAGCACTATGGTTCCAGTGCACACATCATCCTTATGGCTCCTGACAGAGATGCCTTCAAAAAAACCAGGACTGGACATATGCAGAGCTTCTGAGAAGACTCTACTTAGAGGTTATTTTCATTCATGGAGGAACACAGAAGGAGAAGCACTGACAGGAGAGGGGTCAAGAATCACAGGGTCAGTCAGGCTGCAAGGGACCACAGTGGGTCGCTGGTCCCACCTCCCTACTCCAGCAGGGCCAGCCCAGAGCTCATGGCTCAGGGCTGTGTCCAGAGGGTTCCTGAACACCTCCAGTGAGGGACAATCCACGACCTCTCTGGGCAACCTGCTCAGTGACTGCCTTCCTTGTGTTCAGGTGGAACTTCCTGGGCATCACTTTCTGCTGTTCCCTCTTGTTTTATTGTTTTCCACAAGTGAGAAGAATCTGATCCATCCTCTTGACATGACCCAGTATCTAGGGTCCTGCCGTCTTTATCACTACAAGGAAGCACAAGAACTGGTGCTTCCAGGCTCCCACACCCTGCAGTATTTCCCAGCTGCACAGAACCACCAGAGGGCAAAAGCCTTTGGCAACCTCAGGCTAAATTGCTGGACTGAGATTTATGTCTGTCAGTTAGCTTCTCCCATGCCAGGAAAGCTTCAAACACTGAGCAGTGAATCACCTTCCTTGCATTCTTTTCCTTTTTTCCCCCATAGAATATCATACAGAAAATGAAGCTGAGAAAACTCTGAACAGAAGAGCTTTGAAGCCAAATTCTGTCAGAGGAAGGAGCATGGGTGTCCTTTTTAATAAAGAAAGACCCAGCTGTCTGGCAAATCCAATAGGTTACGGAGGAATTATGTCAAGCACAGAACAGCAGGAGCAAGGGGGAAACACTCATTACACGTTTTTTAAACTAACCATAGTTGGAAGGCAGTGACTTCATTTTTTATCTTTGACTCTGTAGAGAATCTGTACCAAGGAGAATGGAAATTGTGAAAAGCTCCTGGCTACTGCTCCAACTGTTTTCATGCCTCATCAACCTGAAGAGGCCAGGCAGCCCTGATCAGTACAGCCTTACTCCTTCTCAGGGAATCCCAGGCTTGGGAAGAGCTGTGATGGGCCCTTGGCCATCCTATGTTGAATGTCTTGAACCAAACAATTTGTTCACCTTCATGCCTGGGCCACTGTCACCATGGAGAGTTGCTACTGAAGAGCAGTGTCAGTACAGCAGCAGAACTTCAATATGTTTAGGGGGTTAAATATACAATACTGTTGTGGTGTTCAGGCACTGGGATATTGCCCAGGGAGGTGGTGCAGTCACCATCCCTGGAGGTGTTTCAGAGGTGTCTGATGTGGCACTGCAGGATCTTGATTAGGGTTTGGGGGTTCCAGCAGTGACAGGTTAATGGTTGGACTGGATGATCTTAGAGGTCTCCTCCAACCTTGATGGTTCTATGATACATATAGAACTTGTAACAGAAAGAAGCTGACCTTCACAGGCAAAGGGGAAACAAGGGAGACAGTGGTTACTATCTTCCAGACACCCTGGCTGGTTATGTTTGCTTCTAGCCTATTGCAGGACTATCCAGGCAGGGCTCACTGCAGGCTGAGCTGGTGATGACAGAGCTCCAACACCTCGGGAGGATTGCACACCTTCCCACAGCACTCTGCCATGCTCCCCAGGGGTTACCAGGGCAGGCTGCCAAGCTGACAGTGTGGTGAAGATCCCTGCAGATATGCTCAGGCAATAGGGACCCAAGGTCTCCCACCTGGGAGAGTGAGGAACTCTTCCTGAAAAGCAAAGCATTGCTTGCAGGAGCAGCAGAGCTATGAGGCAGCAGCACTTAGGATGATGACTACTGCACTCTGTGACTTCCCATTCAGGAAATTATATGTTGTCTGTGATGGAGGGACGAGGTGGGAGGCAGCAGCAGCTGGAGCTGTGTTTTCTCAGCTGTGCATCTGACAGCTGCGACCTGGTACAGTTCAGAGACAGAAAGCATATGCTGTCATTCAGGGCTTTTAACATCAAGTGGTTTTTACTGGGTTCATTATCTCCTCACAAAATGAAACTGGATGGCTAGAAATGCTCTAACCACAAGGAAACATGAGTCTCAGCAGGGTCACACGGAGTGCAGGTCTGGCTTACCGTGTGCCAGCACTGCTGGCTGACTCCTCTGCTCTGCCACTGCCACATGAAGCAACGCCTGGGGCAACAGGGAGTTTTCTGTGCCTTGTCAGTGTCCATCAGAGGGGAAGAAGACTGGTTCCACAGTGATTAAACTACATGGATCCAAGAAAAGGTATGTGTTCCTTAGTACCACAGACATTAGCAATCATAGACTCGTAGAGTTTTAGGGGTTGGAATGGAGTTTAGAGCTCATCCAGCCCCAGCCCCTGCCCTGGGCAGGCATGCCTCCTCACTAGATCAGGTTGCTCAAGGCTCATCCAACCTGCCCTTAAACACCACCAGGGTTGGGGCAGCCACAGCCTCCCTGGGCAACCTGGGCCAGTGTCTCAACACCCTCACAGGGAAAACTTCTGCCTAAGATCTAACCTAAATTTCCCTCCTTCAGCTTGAACCCATTGTCCCTTGGCCTGTCCCTGCAGCTCCTAACACAGATCCCTCTGCAGCTTCCCTGGAGCCCCTTCAGCTCCTGAAGGTGCTCTGAGGTCTCCACACAACCTTCTCTTCTCCAGGCTGAACAGCCCCAACTCCCTCAGCCTGTGCTCACAGGGAGATGCTCCAGTGCTCTGAGCAACTTTGTGGCCTCCTCTGCACTTGCTCCCACAGTTCCATGTCCTTCTGATGCTGAGGACACCAGAGCTGTGTGCAGGATTCCAGGTGTGTCTCCCAGAGCAGAGCAGAGGGGCAGAATCCCCTCCCTTGCCCTGCTGCCCACACTGCTGTGGCTCAGCCCAGGATTCCATTGGTTTCTGGGCTGAGCTCACACTGCAGCTCATGGGGAGTTTCTCACCCACCATCACCCCCAAGTCTCTCTCCTCATTGCTGCTCTCAATTCCTTCCCCACCCAACCTGGAGCTGTGCCTGGGGTTGCCATGGCCCAGATGTAGCACCTTGCACTTTGCTTTGTTGAACCTCATGAGGTTTGCATTGTTCCACCTCTCCAGCCTGTCCAGGTCCCTCTGGATGTCCCATCCCTTCCCTCCAGCTGTGACTGTGACACACTTGGTGTGCTCAGAGAACCTGCTGAAGTAGCCTGTGGTCCCACTGTTCATGTTGCCGACAAAGATGTTGAACAGTGTCAGCCCCAACTGAACCACTGCAATGAAGCACTGAGCTTCTTCTGTAGAGCTGTACACATTTAAGAGCTAAATACTGGCAGTTCTTTCTCCATTTCTTAGAAAACCCTGTTAGCAGTGCCCACTAATAATACCCCACACGATGCTCATCAGAGCTGTGACCCTCCTGCTCTCTGCAAGCTGCTGGTGCACCTAGGAATGTTCCAAGGACCTGCACGGTGTAAATATCTATTCTGTGCTTTTGTAATTGAATTCATAGATCAAACATTGGTTCTCTTACTTTAGGTCTGCATTCTTACCTAAGACTGTGTTATGACTTAATTGCTGCACAACCAGGACAAAAGACAGCCACGACCTATATCACTAAAACTGCAACTGATAATTAAATTGCAATGCCTGCTAATTTTCTAAGAAATTGCTGAAGTTTCTTTGCCAAGAAGTGTTCGTTACATCAGAAGCAAAAAACATTGGTTCTCTTACTTTAGGTCTGCATTCTTACCTAAGACTGTGTTATGACTTAATTGCTGCACAACCAGGACAAAAGACAGCCACGACCTATATCACTAAAACTGCAACTGATAATTAAATTGCAATGCCTGCTAATTTTCTAAGAAATTGCTGAAGTTTCTTTGCCAAGAAGTGTTCGTTACATCAGAAGCAAAAAACTAAAGTTTTCCCTACAACCTCAAAAGGCTGAATGGGAACTAAAGGCAGATGTGAAACTTGGACCTTCCTGAAGTTTATTTGAATGAAGCACAGATAAGTGTCAAATATCTGCCAACACCATTTGCTCATTTTAGGCAGCTGCTTCTGTTACAATTTGCAGAGATGGAGCAGTAAGAGATTTCTTTTGAGTCACAGTGATGATAGGAAATGAAGCATCTCCCTGCAAAGTGACAGGAGCTGCAGAGAGACACAGGGAAGAGTTACCCCCAGGGCTTTAAAAATAAGAACTTATTCAGCATCTGAAATTTCCAATTAAAAGTGAGTCATGTAATCCTTTCTGTTCTTGCAAATCAGATCATTATTTCTGATTTGGATATTTACCTGATACAAAAACTGAAGACAGACTTGCTCAGTGGTACAGAGATGGTCTACGGAACACAGACCCACACTCAGAACTCTACACAGTCCATAGTCTGTGGATCCAGTTTTGGATCAGGAAAATGCCTCAAATAACCTTTTTATGCCCAGAACATCAATATCACCTCACCTCAGCAGAGCAGAAGAATTACGTGTGGGCAAGAAGATCTACCTGATAAATCAGCTCTGATGGAGAAGCCACATGTGAACTGAAGGTTAAAGCTTCAAAACCAGAGTATTTAACCAGCTAATCAATGCAAAACACTTTCCATGAGTATAAAAACACCGTGACGCAAATATATTTACTATCTCACCTTGTATCTCCCCAAACATATTCCGTTATTCAGCTTGGTCACTCTGGAGCAAAGCAAAATAAATGCCTTTCAGAGACAACTGGGGCTTCTCTAGCACATAAACTCAAGACAGCTTAGGTTAAAACCGATGCACTTGGTAACCAGAGTAATTCTGAGAGAGGTCCAACTCAGCACCCTGAGTCAGGCAAGAAAATAGAGATCTATTTGTGCCTTTTGCTATGGAAGGTGTCTTCGGGATGATCACAGTGCCAGATGACAAAGATGAAAATTAGTCTCTGGGGTGGTAATAAAACCTCCTTTTATACCCTGATAGCATCTCTATTAATCAAAGGACAGAAACATCCCTAGAGGGGCCACTGTAAGAGACAATTTCTGCTTCTACACAAGGCTATATATAGCAATTAAAATACTATGCTTAAGATGAAATAACATTTTATGCTCCTTCTGGAATGCAAATGTGTGTTATTCAACCAGAGCTCACTTCCTCTCTCTGCTCCCACTGCTCTGTTACACAACACATGTGTCAAGCCAATAATTTAAGGAGCATTTTTGCATGATACATTTTGAGCTCAACTTTACCTTCTTCAGCCTGCAGTGCCATTTAATAACATGTGGCAAGGACAACAGCATCACTAGGAACTGACAGTTGCATGTTTGGAGACATGAAAGTGAATCTGGATCAGTTAAAGAACATATATTTCCTGTAGGTTTCATGCTAAGTATTTAGCTGCTCTCTGTGCAATCCTTTCTCTACCAGGACATGCTAATATCCCAGAAGAAATAAAGCTATCTTTATTATTTAGCTATCCTAAATCTTTGCTAACAGCTAAGAAAGAAAGCTGCCAGGAGAATGTTAAACATCCAAGCAGGGAGTGTTGTCACGAGGGATGCCAATGGTGACTTCTGAGGGATGTCAAAGGTGTGAAGCTCCCCATGATCACAGCTCAGTCCATTGGTACACAGGTTACACTTTCCTTAAAAGTAATTAATTCCCTTGTGAGTTAATTGCTGCAAGTGTTTAGACCAAATATTTGCAGCCTTGCTTCTCTATTTCTGGTGGCTCTTTAAGGACCTCAGTTAAAATTACAGCAACTAATCTCATTTAGAGGCTCAATGACTTGATAGACAAACCACGTAAATGTCTAACAGTATCTCTGCACTTGCATTTTGATGTTTGCATTCGATAACTGCATGTATGGGACACAGAGGACAGGAGCCCAGGTCCCTTCTATTATGCATGCAGGATTCTTCCCAGAAGGAGCTTATCCCAAGATGCAGCCAGAATGGCACCGTATTAAACTTTTTTTTTGAAAGAGCCTGCAGTGTCAAAACCTCCTTTCACACAACAAGGTGACACGTTTTTACATGCAGAGGAGTGGAAGGGTCAGTATAGAGCTGCTTACCTGTGGTTGACCTGATAGTTGAGGTGATGTTGGAAGATGTCAGCGCAGGAATACATTCATCATCCTGGGAATAGCCTGCCTGAATGGCACGCAAGTAACTGTGGCTTCTTGTTCGGAAACATCCAGGGAGGTCAAGGGCATCCATTGCCTGAGCTTCAACTTCACTAAACACTGATTCACACACCGATTCAAACTGCCCATTAACCTCTGCTTCACTCATCTGAATAAACAACAACAATGCATTTGATTTTTGACTCGCTTTTTTGTGATCATCACGGCCTCAACATCTCAAATGGACACCTGTACATTGATGGAGAACTGTTTTAGCAGATAGTTAAGATGTAGTAATCCCTTCTGATCACATTCACATATTTTAATCACTTACATCAGCTGTTTCTATGTATATAGCAAGTACATCACACATGCCAAACATTCACTTTACACTTAATATCTTTTGGCATAGCCAGAGGATTGTAAATAAATGATTTAATGGTGACCAACACTACTCTGCACTGATAGAAATCTGCCCAGAGAGAAGAATGAAACCAGCTCTATTAGCCTCAGAAGATGAGGCTGGGGTGCCTGGGTTCCTCACTTGGCAGAGGTGTGACTCCAGGGGACGTTTAGCCTGTGTGGCTAAATGGCTATCCTCCTCTCACTATAAAGGAGCTCAAGGATGTTTCTGAGCCTTGAAGCTCAGAGGAAGTGATGCTTCTGAAAGGATGGAGAAATACTGCATCTCGAGTTGTGTCCAGTGATGCATGTGAAAGAACAACCATAGTCTGAACTCGAGTGGTCAGACGAGAAAGCAATGTTTGGGCCACCTCTAGCTGGGAAGGTTCCCCCAACAACACTCACTCCCTGGCTGACTGGGTTAGCCATTCAACTACCATGGAAAACCTTTTCTTCAGCAGCATTAAGTCCTCTAAGGAACCTCAGCCGTGCCTGCACCCCCTGCTCCTGGGGGACCCCAGCAGCACCCTCAGCGCCTGCCCGCTGGGCCTGCCTTGCAGGCTGGGCACGATGAAACACTGCTCGGCAGTTCTCGGGACCAGCAGAGCTCAGGCAGGTGGCCCAGGCTTAGGAACCTCTTGGTAGGGAACTGATTTAAAGATGTGCCTAAATTCTACCAACAGCATCTTTACCAGCCTGGCTGAATCAGCCCTAACTGCCTGGAAATGTGTCTGAATAATTCACTATGGTGTTTATCCAAAATCAGAGAGGAGGTGAACACTAGACAGACAAATGGCAAAAAACCAAGAGTGCTAGAAATCAGAATCAGAACTAATAACTTTGTAAGTTAAATTTATAGAGCCACTAAATGGCACGTCCGGTTGGCATTAGTTTCCCTACCCAGACAAAAGTGCTCCTGGTGCTTTATCCATTATGGAAACAGAGTCAGTGCACATGTTCCATGTGATTTGGGGTAAGTAAATGGAAATTTCATACAGAAGTTCTGATGGTAATGAATAACTGATGTTTTAATTTCATGTCAGGCATTTTGGCTACTAAAACTCTTCTGCAAGGAATTACATTACCCTTCACAAAATTCGCTTTTAATAAGGTTAAGTAGATTAATTCAATCTGGAAAAGCTTAAAAAAATCTGATTCTGAACCATTTCTCAATATCATTGATCAGGAAATTTATGGTAATTTAGCCCATAAATACTGTCACGTTTAACCACTTCTTTCAAACTGAGGTCACTGAAATATAGTAGAAAAATAAAGGTTTTAAAACTGAAATTAAAAATATAAACCATAGAAGGATCTTTCTCGCCTCTACCCTTGGTCAGGAGTGAAAAAGGAAGGATCTCACAGCAAAAACGCATAAAACATGCCACAAATTATCCAAACTGCTCTTATGTAGGTGATGGTGCCATAGAAAGAGCAAAGGTTCAGAACTTGATGTTTTAATACATTTGCTTTGTGTGGTCTATTAAATGGACAGTGTAGTATATTGAATGCATTTGCTGTTAGTCTGGAAACAGCTGAACTGAAGGAAGAAGTGTCATGTCATGTGGCTGACAAAGCTGCATCAGTCAGTGACCCTGAGAAAGGAAGGGACTGTGTCCAGCAGGTTCAGCATGTTTGGCCAGTTGAGCAATCTACCTGCAGACAAAATCTGTTATGGATCTCCCTCAGGCAAAGCACATTGGAGTGGAGAATTTTAACCACTGCTGAAACCAATTAGTCATTGTGAACAGCTGAGTGAAGCTCTCCATGCACAGACATGGTCAGAGGGGCAGGAGATGTCAGAGCAGCTCTGTGTGACAGCACCATCAGGTGACAGCTCATAGCACTTGCTTTGAGGGCAGCATCTAACCCTAGGGAAACTTCCTCAGAACCAGAGTGTCATAAAAATAGAGAAGAACCAAACCAGCACAATCCAAACCAAGGCATGAGAATGGTGGGCACAGGATTCACAAGGGAGTTATGAAACACCAAGAAGGGTTTGGGAAGTGACGGATCATTTCTGATTCCAACTTGTGCCATGCAAGGTTATACTTAAGATTACCCCACAAAAACTGGACTGAAGGGCATTAGTCAGGTGACCAGGCCCTCCCAGCTCTCTGGTGGGGGCCGACAAGTGTTCCTGGAGGGCTCTCGGCCCACTGGGGATGTGCACTGTCCTGGAAGAAACTCTCTCACTCCATTAACTACGGAGGAAGCTTTAGCTGCTGCATGAGTTAAAAGCCTCGAGTGAGATGAGTTGGATCCAGGCTTGACTAGCCACACAGCACAAACTGAACACAAACCTGCTTTAAAAAGGTTTCTGTTTAAACATCACCATTGTGCATGAGTACCCTTGGGTGCCTCACTGAATGGCCAAAGGGAAGCAAACAACACGTGTGAGGGGAGGGCAGGACCCACCTGTTCTGAGGCAACAAATGTCAGGACCAAGGAACATTGGAAACACGGGGGATTTTATGGAAAGTCCTCTGCTAAGCAGAACCAGCACATCCTTCATACGGCTGTTGCACTTAAGGGCTGATTCAGATCCCAATTTAACAGCAGTTGGTGCTAACTAACCGACATAAACCCATCAGGAAGGGAAAACATGTCTTTTCAGGAGTGTCCCCACGCTGAACAGATGATGGGTCTTACCCCTTCACCCAAGAAGAGTGAGGGATTGGGCTCAGAGATGAATCACTGCCCCTCTGGAGCTTGTTTTCAATCTGTATCTTAATCTTGCAACCCACGTTTGCTGAAATCACAGCAGGCATTTTCAGAGGATGAGTCCTACAGGACTGTGCTCCTCGTGCTCAGCCTGGATCTTCTTAACACTAACACAGACTGAAAGGACTCCCAGTGAAGATGACAATTTGCACCAGCACTTCCAGCATTCAGCACATTGCCTGAGTGTGTTCAGGGAGGACAAAACACTCTGCTATAGCCACACAGAGTGAGCTATAGCATGAGATGCTTATCTGGGACAGCACATCTGATAACAGAGCTGGGATAGCATCTCACCCTGGCCTGGAGTGACTGGCAGTGAGGTTGGGCTGCACATTCCAACAACAAAAGTAAAACGAAAACACCAGTATCTATATGTCAGATGAGAAACAAATGGAAAATAATCAGTGTGGCAGTGCCTCTTTTCCTCTAGCACTCAGCAGCATCCCTGAAATGCTGAGTTACATTCCTTAGACCTGAATCACTTTGACAATACACATCCTCAGTTCGACATTAATTGCAAAAAAACCCCAAAGAACTGAACCCATCCACTGTTCACAACTGTCACATCTGCAGGTAAGCTCTAAGAAAAGTGATAAGAAGAGTTTCCCACCTGACTAACACAGCTGGCCTGACTGAGCGTGCTCACTGCTCTCATATAGCTCTGATTCCTTGAGCGAAACTTTGGGGAATTGTAGTTGGCAGAGGGATCCAGGTTGTGACCCCCAGACACGTCGCTTGCAGTTTGAAGGTAGCTCTGACTACAAAGGAAAGAGGAAGAGAAAAAAGGAAAGGCTGTGAAACTACAGATGGAATCAATTAAGACACTAAAGACAGTAATTTGTAGGAGATTCACAAACCCATTCCCCAGGGCCCAAGTCCTGCTCTGTGTAAAGCATAATAGACCTGTTGTAGTCAAACGTCTTAGCACAAGCAAAGAGTGTCTGTAGTGCTGCTACCTAGATGATATGAGATTTTAAGCTTTGCTGCATTTAAACATCATCAATCCTCCTGGCTCTTCATGCTGAACTTTACTAAAAGAGAATGTCTAGGTCAATAAGAACAACAACCAGGGCTAAAACACAAACCAAAGCAGCTAAAAATCTTCCCTCATAGACAAAACCTGCTACTTGTCATCTGATTTTCATCAGTGTGTTAGGCATCAAGAGACCTTTTATCTTCAAAGGACTGATATAGTTTTACAAATGATTAAAATATCCCATGTTCATCTAAAAATAAACATTAATAAATCATAGACTCAACCAGGCTGGAAAAGACCTCCAAGATCATCAAGTCCAACCCTACGGTGGTCACTAGCCCATGGCACTAAGTGCCACATCCAGTCTCAGCTTGAAAACCTCCAGGGATGGGGAATCCACCACCTCCCTGGGCAGCACATTCCAATGCCTGAGCACTCTCTCTGGAAAAAATCTCTTCCTAATCTCCAACCTAACCCTCCCCTGGCAGAGCTTGAGTCTGTGCCCTCTTGTCCTGCTGCTGGTTGCCTGGGAGCAGAGACCAACCCCCACCTGACTCCAACCTCCTGTCAGGGAGTTGCAGAGGGTGAGAAGGTCTCCCCTGCGCCTCCTCTTCTCCAGGCTGAACCCCCCCAGCTCCCTCAGCCTCTCCTCATGCCACTTGTGCTCCAGTCCCTTCCCCAGCCTCGTTGCTCTGCTCTGGACCTGCTCCAGCCCCTCAATGTCCCTCCTGAGCTGAGGGCCCAGAGCTGAGCACAGGATTCAAGGTGTGGCCTCACCAGCACCGAGTGCAGGGGCAGAATCACCTCCTGGTCCTGCTGACCACACTGTTCCTGCTCCAGCCCAGGATGCCATTGGCCTTCTTGCCCCCCTGAGCACACTGCTGGCTCCTGCTCAGCTCCTGTCTCTCCACACTCCCAGGTCCCTTCCTGCCTGGCTGCAAGGTACTCAGAGCAACTGCAGGAGGTTCTAGAAATGGTTTGCTTACAACACACCTCCCAGTTTGGAGGACTGGGACCTTCGCACCACACCAAGCCCCTTCAGCATGCTCTCACCCCAAGGGTGTGCTAGTTGTCAGGTTTTGTTTTAAATGTATTGATTATCTATCAAGTAAATAAACCCAAGCAAAGAACAGCACTTTGCTTTTAATACAAAACAGTTTAAGTCACAAACTAGGTTCACCAGAGCCCTCAGAACCTCTGAAACCAGTGCAGAAATGAACTCATGTCCCAGGAAATATTTGGTTTCAAGTGCTAAATAGGCAGTTCTTATATTTAGCCCTGAAATGTCGCTCTAACAGAAACAGTTTCTGGGGACAATAGATTTGTGCCAGTTGAAGGTCTAATATTGGCCACAGAGTTCCTTCATGCTGAGCTGCTCAGCCCAGCAGTGGCTGTGACGTGACCCAGGCTGTCGGGAACGCCTCTGTGAAGGGTGAAGTTTCCTCACTGGAAGGACCAAACCAGTCAGTGAATGGGAAAGCCACAGGTTCAGCTCCTGCTGCAAGGTGAGGCACAAACCATGGTCTTGTTTCTCCAACCATATTTATTGAACACTGAGTGTGTTGGGGAATGACTCAGCCTTCCTCACTAACTGGACACAAGCTGATAGTGGCCTGGATGCAATCCCTGAGGAGCATTCAGGGAGGACTCTCAGACCTTTCACCACAGCTTTGACTAGATAAAGCAAACAGTGTTGAGTTCCATCTCCCTGTGTGGCCACACACTTTGATGTCCAGCAAGTGATGATCCATCTCACATCACCAGCTGTAAGAGCAGATGGGTTTTAGAGACCTTTCCAAGCTTCTACTTGGGAGACCTGTTCTCAAGCACTTCCATGTGCTCCCCCTGAGTCAGCCACCCCAGGGTCAGCACAGCCGTGGCCGTGCTTCCTTGGTGCATGAGCCACTGGCTGGCTTAGCTGCTCCTCTAGACAAGCTGCCTTGGGCTCACAGAGTCCTTTAGGTTGGAAAAGATCTTTAAGATCATCAAGTCAACTGCTAACTCAGTGCTGCCAAGGCCACCACTAAACAATGTCCCCAAGTGCCACATCTACATGTTTTTAAATACCTCCAGGGATGGTGACTCAACCACTTCCCTGAGCAGCCTGTTCCAGTGTCTGATAATCCTTTCAGAAATTGTTCCTAATAAATTTTGCTGGAGCATGTCCAAAGAAGAGCAACAAAGCTGGTGAAGGGTAAAAAAGGACAGGCTTTGTTTTCATCTTTGTTCAAGGCAAGCAATGTTTCAGATTCCTAAGCAATTTCCCTGGAGAAAATTTCTTCCTGTCTTTATTCAGTGCCTTCCATGGAACGCCTCTATAACCTCGTGCTAGAGGTAAACTATGTAGCAGCTATGCTGTACCTGCTAGAGCCACAAAAATGTGTGAGATTTCTGCAGACGTGCTCAGAGGTTAATTAAGTCACTAAGTCAAAGTGATGCTGCGATGAAGATAGCTGTCTGATAGTGGGTTTCATTTGGTTTCAGATGATAAAAACAAGCGTTTTTTATTCCCATAGATGAGGTAGAGCCTTGCTATCTACATTTGGGAGCTGGCAGGATCATAGAATCATAGGATTTAGGGGTTGGAATGGACCTTACAGATCACCCAGCCCCAACCCCTGCCCTGGGCAGAGACACCTCCCACAAG